CAAAAACACACAAAACCACCTCAGGATTATTTTAAATATTAAATCCAATAGGCTACAATAACATAAAATAAAGATTCTGTTAGCTGGCACACTTATTTATGTGTATGACTAACAACATTTCAGGAGATTACCAGGAAAGAAAATTAAATTCCAGTATTCTTGGCATTCCTTAGTTTTTGTTCTCTTTTATAGATATTATTAAACAATCAAAATCCAATTTCAGCTGTTTACTGAGTTTCATTTGTAGCTTCTTAGAGTTACAATGTGTCTATAACAAATTCAGGATTTGATTTTAAGAACTTTTAATTGAATTTTTCTGTGTGGAATATTTCTAAAAACTAACAGTTTGGAGAGGAAAAAACACGGTCAAATGTAAGGTGAAGGAACTTTTATGTTTATATTTAATGTTTCTTAACTATCTAATTTTCTTATTTACTAGTATGGTGAAATCTTGCTACATTTTCAGGTCTGTGCACCAGCAGCAAGGGATAGGGTCTGTCACAGCAGATGTCTGAGGCAAGAAATCATTTCAAGATCAGCAGTGCAGAGACAGACTAAGAAAGAAGAGAATTACTTGTGGCTCTTCTTGAAAGGAATTTAGCAAAGCCAAGGAAGTTTGTTAAATAGAAAGCAGGAATAATGAGGAGCAAAGACACATCTATTGTTGTGCTCTTCCTATTGCGTTTCCTGTCTCCCCACAAAAGCTTAATCCTTTCCCTGACATTCCCCTTGAAAATATCCACTTGAGTCTCGAGAGACACCATACTACTTCTCCTAAGTAGAGTGGTCTGTGTAATCGATTCCAGTTCAGCTGCTGAATTTTAAAAAGAATAAAACCAAAAACAAAACACGCATTGAATGGAACTCAAATTAATTCCTTTTCTAAACTAAAATGAAAAATATATTTTCAGTGTTATGTTGCAGTGAACTTAAAAATAATTATAATTAAAAAATTTCGAAGAGAACTGCCTGAATTTCTCAGTGATGCCTTTCCTACATCCAGTGTGTTCAGAACTCCAGTGAAGGATGATTGTGGCCCAGGATGCCTTTTTTTTTTTTTATTATGCTTGAAGGATTTTGAGTCTCATCTTCTAACTTCTGAAGAAAGTGTTCTTGTCCTACCAAAATGTCTTATATTCTTTGATTTCCCTGCAGTCATACTAGTTTTTTTAATTTCACTTGAATTACAATACATGGCTGTTTTTTATAGACGGAGCTGGATTTCCCTGGTTGGTAAACTGCAAGCAAGAGCCAGGCTGCTTCACATGTGGCAATGAATGCTTTGCGCTTTTCTAGCCTATTTTGTATACAGAATAATTTGAGAATTGTGAATCCTGAATTACCTTATAGGTTTGGTCTTGAGTCACCGATCTAAAAGGTTTATTCTTAATTCAGGAAAGAGAGGGAGAAAATTCAATGTGTAGCTTTTCGACTGTCCCAAGTATTTTTCTGAAGCGCTGAGAAAATAACAACCACTTTATATTTTTTCAATTAACATTTCAAAATTCCGAGATTGAGAAAGTGGACCCAAGGTAGGTTTAAAGAACCTTGAAGGGCTACAGCTGCCCATTTTTGATAAATAAATTACCATGCCAGAAAAGGGCAAAATAAGTTTCACTGAACCTATGATCATCAAACCTGCAGAGCTCTTTCTGTCATTGAAACAGTACAGATTTTGAGCCTATTTCATATTTGCATCAGCCAAAAAAGTTAAAACATGACCTCTACCTTGCTGTGTAATCAGGCATCACTTGCTTGTGTCCAGAATTCACCTAATGTCATATACTTCGTCTGTCTATTTAGTAGGGAATATATCAACTTCAGCAGTACGTCTCTTTTCCCTGTGAATTGGTGGCCTTCCCCCCTTTTGAAAACAAGGGAGATCACATCTCTGCAGAATGGGTTGAAGTAATACCCACTTAGAAGAAAAAAGCTCTGACAGAAGATGTGTTTTAAGGGTGTGGAATGATCTGCATGGGCTTTGCCTTGCCGCCAGCAAGGCCCAGGCCAACCCCTGGGCTGCTCCTAGGCCTCCTGGCACTTCTGGTGCCAGGGGAAGATGCTGATGCAGAGTGGGAAACAAAAAAATAGAGTGGAAATGTGTTTTCTATCAATACAAAGCTACTCCTGGTCGTCCCTAGTACCTAAAAGGGACCAAAATCAAAAACGTGTAAAGGAGTGAAAAATAGTGAGGTGAGAGATTGAGTAGGCTGCCTCTGGTCTCCTGAGATCCTGCTGCTTTGAAGCACTAGCTTTGGCAGTTCCTTCTTCTCTTTCCCAGTCTTTGAACTTGTTCAAAATGGGGCTCAACCTTCAAATGAGATCAGAGGGAAAGCAGTTTGGAGCATGTAATTTTCATCTGTCTTTACTGATCTTCAAACTTGCTTCTCAGAAATGTCAGTGAGTGGAGCAGAGCACTGGTCAGACAAAGGCATGATGAGAAGAGAAATGTCCTGGACATGTCTGTTTTCTTCTCTTCCGTTGTCATGCTGCTTGGCTTTGGGAAAAATCAATTCCCCGTTGCTTGTTTTCCCTTACAGAAAGCAGGAGGAAATAAATTTTACAGTGGATGTTGATTGCTTTCAAATTTTGTGATGAAAAGTGTTGCAGAAGAGCTAGTCAGTGTATCATTGACTGCATGGTTACTGCTGAAATGGTAATAATCTTTCTTCCTCTGTGTCAGTTTGGGACACAGAGGAAAAATACCTGGTTTCCTCATTTTTCATAGCTGTCCTCAGCACCCAGGACCCCAGGCCACTGATGTCATGTAGCAGATGCTAGATCAGATAATACATCAAATTAAGGGGTGATGAAGTACCAGAGCCTCATGCAAGCATCCCACAGTGCTCGTGAAACTGGAATTTCAGTCCTGTTAATGATCTGTATGGCCTTGCATTTACCTTAGAAAAATAATTTTGGAGAGAGAGAGAGAAAGAAAGATTTGGAAAGAAGAGAGGTAATGCTAATATTAAATTTACGCTAACATTTAGTGCTCAATACGTTGCTGAAGGCCTAATGGTGTTTATTATATGGATTCTTCAAAGCAGTGGATGTGTAATTCTCTGAAGATGTTTTATAAACTATGAGAGGAAAAGGTACAATTGTTCACAAATGTTTTCACTGAGATTGTTTTAAAGTCAGTTAAGATTGCCTTTGAGAGTAGGGTTGCACTAAAAAGAGAGAGGAGAGATGGAAAAAAGAAACCCCAAAACAGGGTCCTGCTCAGTCTAGAGTTTCAGGAGAGAGAGGAAAAGGTCTAGTTATCCAGAGCCAGATGCATTGTTAAAAGTTCATGCTATCACTTTGACATTTAGAGTAGGACTCAGTGTCTTTGTAAATTCCTCTTCGTATTACCAGTGTAGGTCTCTGAGCTCAGACTGTTTCACAAACCATAACATTTTTTAGTGAGTGATTGATCTGTATTATGTGTCCTAGCCATCAGAAGAATCTTGGGATGTTGCTTGTATAAACTGTAATACAATCTGATCCTGGGCATTTAGTTACAGACTTTCATAGACCTATTGGCGATACTCAATCCTCCTGGATTTGGGAATAGGGCTTATCTGATACCTTTAAAAAAAAAAGAAAGAAAGAAAGGAAAAAAAAAAACAACCCTAATTTTCTCTGTTACCCACTTAAATAACTCAACACATCTGGTAACACTGTAGGATCATTGTCCTTTCAGTTCCTCTGCAGATCATATTGCTACAATATTTCTTAGGTATCTAGTTTCCTAAAGGGCAATGTGATTTTTTTCAGGCTGTTTTTATAGGTCTTGCAAATTAACCCATATGCATTGCAAGAAAAAACATGACTTTTAATCAGCAGCATTTCTAAAGTTAGCGCTTGCTCTGTGTGTATGAATATGTATATGAACTAGTGTTCGAAAAAAAAAAAACAAAACACAACAGTCTTTCTGGTAGTACTCAAAACTAGCATACAAATGTGCTTTTATTATCAAATAAAGTCTGCCTAAATGTTAAAACATCTTTCTGTTAGGGGTTTTATCATTTGGCTTCTTGTCTTCAGTTACAAGAATGATAAAAATTGAAATTAAATCTTTTAATTCAATAAGAACTAGGCTGAATTTAGGAAACAAAAAGGGGAATCAGATATAGAATCATATGCATGGGAAATCAAGCATTCAAGAAATTAAAACTTTGCGAGCAACTACGGGGGTAGCCTTAAGGTGTGCTTATTTGAAATGCCTGCATTTAATTTTACAGTAAATCTGTGTATTTTGTTCCAATTAAGACAGTTCATGTGCATGACTCTAAATTGTACAGTAGTTCCAGGGAGACCAGGGAATGCTTGTTTTACATTCTGGATCAAGTTCAGATTTTTAGGCTTCACTTGAATAAAATAAAAAGTCTGAACCCTGAAGATAATACAGATTGATAAATCTGATTTAAACATTCCCGTGTTGCAGGCTTCCAGTGTATGTGGTACAGCTGAGCCTCAGGCCATGTACTAAATACATCCACAGAGCATTCCCAGGACACCCGAATACCAAATGATCACATTTGAAAGGTTACCTTTCTATGGATTCTGACTTTTCTGTATTAGCCATGAAGATTAGAATTTTAACAGCTCCCAATGAGAGGTATTGTGAAGTATTTACTTGGCAGGGGAAAAAAACAAAACAAAAGAAAGCCCAGATGAGGTACTGTCTCTTATTCATGAGCTGGGATTTATTAGTTCTGTGAATGTCCTTGTGAGAATACACTCCATAGTTCACACGTAATATAAATTAAAATTTTGTTTTTAACCTTAAAAGTTTGATAGAAGAATTACTGTAGCAGAGGTTTTAGTAGGGGGACAGGATCACGCTTGTGCAGAATATATCCTCATAAATCCTACAGTCCTTCACATCTAGCTTTCTACAAGGCAAGTTGTGAACTATTTATCTCTCAGGAAATCTGGCAGTAGCTTTCTTTAATAATCACCAAATTTACTAATAAAGATGTAAGTTGACTTTTCTTCTTTGTTTTCTTTTACAGGTTGTGGAACTCATATCAAGTGCTATTGGTGACTTAGTTCAAGGTATATACTATGAAAACTCAAAATCATCTGAGGTAAGAATTTCAGTAGTTTTACATACCCAGCAAGTTTGGTTATATTAATGTGTGACTGTAGAAAATGTGGTGATTTTCTCATACCTTTTAAGAGGAAGAGAATTAACTGTAGTCCTAGTGAGTTGTAGCAGTAATGCTATTATGACACCTGTGAACTCTGGACATTTCTAGAAATGCTCAAAGAGGGGCTAGTTTCCATGAGTGCTTAATAAGATAGTGTCAGGTGTCATTACCAGAAGCTGCAAATATGTCTTACTGTGGGTTTTCTAAACACTTGCAGAGCCTTCTAGTCAGGGTTCGGTTAGAGGAATGTATTACGATGTCAACATCATTAATATGTGAACGTTAAATCTCTCATTTCCAAGCTATAATTGCCCAAAGATTTGTACAAAATGCTTCATCCCATGTTTACATGAGGTCCCTTCTTCTTTAGTCTTTACCTTTTGATAGCTTAAACATCAGTTTTGCTCTGAGGACGTAGGAACATACTGCAGTCTTCCCCACTGAAAATCATGTGCATGTACTACAGAGTCCGGGTGGGCAAAGACAGTGGCTGTCAGTGTTTCACAACGAAGAATTATGAATTTCTTCAAGAGCAATTAATGGATGTACTGTGTTATTGATTTAATTTCTGGTGTGGCAAAAGCTGTAATAGATATTGATCAAATTGTATGCAGGTATTTTTGTTTTTAGTAGAATATGTAAGGAAATCTTTAGAGTTACTTCTTGAAGTAATATTGCTTGGGCAGGATGTTGAAGCAAAACTTGAGTTTCATTTTTTATGACTGTATCTTAATATGTCCAAAAAATTGACAATTTAGAGTTCTCATAACCTCTGCAGGTCTTAAAATAGCAAGTTTTCACAGTGTAGCAATGATCAGCAGTGTGCGTATGTGAATATGTACCTTAAAATACACTGAGGTGGATTTCATTTCTAGTGATGCTTCCTCACGTGCCTAGTTTGCCTCAGAGACCTGTACCTTAATGTTCAGTATGTGAGATGGCTTGAAGAGTGCAGAAGTTATGAATACACTTGTATTTGCTGTGTATGTAGCTTGCAGCTCTGTTTTACTATTGCCGTGTTGCAGTATGAATCACTGAATCACAGAATATCCTGAGTTGGAAGGGACTCACAAGGATCATCAAGTCCAACTCCTGGCTCCATACAGGTTTACCCAAAAATTCAGGCCATGTGACTAAGAGCACAGTCCAAACGCTTCTTAAACTACAGCAGGCTTGGCGCCATGTCTATGTCCCTGGGGACTGTTCCAGTGCGCGACAACCCTCTCAGTGAAGAACCTTTCCTGATGTCCAGCCTGAACCTCCCCTGCCACAGTTTGACACCATTCCTTCAGGTCCTGTCACTGGTCACTGAAGAGAAGAGATCACTGCCTGCCCCTCCACTCCCCCTCACAAGGAAGCTGTAGACCGTGATGAGGTCTCCCCTCAGCCTCCTCTTCTCCAGGCTGGACAGGCCCAGTGATCTCAGCCGCTCCTCATACGTCTTACATGCATACGTCTTGCACATATGCAGCAAGATAAATTAAGAACTCAGTCGAAGCTCTAATCACATGCGTTAGAGACACAGTAGCTACCTGCAGTGATGGCTGTACAGCTGCCAGAACCACAGTGGGCAAGAAGAGCATCAGGCCGTGGATGTACCACCAGCTTAGCCATGTCTGGGCCATGAAGAGTGTTACTGAAAACAAAGGCATATTACTTCAGCCAACCTTGCTTCAGCGTATCCATCTTCTTTTGGTTGGAATCAGGCAGGGAGCAGTCATGTTGGTCAGCTGAGCTCTTTCATCTGACGAGGTGAAGACTTGTAGCAGGAGAGCAGCGATGGCACTTTTGGGAGATAGATGGGGCCGTGGGCTGGCCAGACAAGCGGGCTACAGGCACGGGATGATCTTGAGCACTTTGCAGTGCTCCAGCACCTCCCGTGTTTAATCCAAGAATATAAGCACAACTTCAGTCTTTGGTGGTGCTCACAGGACTGTGCTTGTGGCTAAATGAAAAAATATCTTTGAAATTTTTGCAAAGGATGTTTAAAATTGTATTTTCTGTATTCAAACAGGCTTCTAAATGCAGCTGAACTCCAGATACATCTGATTTAGGAAATAGCAACTGCTTGTCTCTGGGTAGAAGTAAAACTCTACTAGTTCACCTCAGCAATGAGACTGTATTTTATTTTAACAATGGGCCCTGTATAAATGAGAAATGGTGGAGACTCTTTTGGGCTCTTGCCATTGCTGAAGGTTTTAGTCTTCTTTTTCTTCATTTGGCAAAGTGCTGAGCTGACGGTCCTGACAGGGAATAATTATATCATCTTAGAGTAGCTAGAAAATAATTATTTTCTATTGCATTACTGAACCACTCCGTGTGTAGATTGTAGGGAAAGTGTGAGATACGCTAAGCACAGCTGCGTGGTGTTTACCCTACCCTGGCCCGCTTACAAATACAAAAGGCTTATTTTGTTTCAGTGACTTTCTCCGTCTAACAAAAGATGAAAGTACAGTACACCCTTCCTAAGAGGAGCCCAGTTAATTCAAAACACAATTAGTGTGATGGCATAGTAGGTACTGAAAATTACATTGACAGTGTCTGAAGTTTAGTCTTTATAATAGGTTATGTGTGGCCTGATGAGAACCAGAACAAACAAGTGTGGTGTCTATTTCATTTTATTTTGATCTTGTCCTTTGAGAAATGTAGTTCCATGTTGCATATTAGACGTATCCCTGCTGCTTTCCCCACACTGTTTTGCTGAGGCAGCGTCCCTTTCATGTGCTGAATATCTCTTTAGCAAAGATTGCAAAATGGACTAAGTCAGCTATTAGTCTTATTTGTATCTTCTGTGCCTCTTCCTTCCATCACTAACTGCAATTTGACCAAAACCAAAATCTGAGCTACGTTTCCTGGAGGTAAGACAAATGCTTTAATTTACTCTGCAACTGAGTCTCAAATGTCAAGCTTGCTTTCCTTTTAGCAGCAGGGCATAGGGATGTTATAATGGCATTTTCTTTGCTGGGAATTCTTAAATTTAGAAAAGCAGAAGGATATCTTCTCACCTTTTTTTTTTTCCCTTTTTTTTTAGGCAGGAAAGTTGTGCTTCATATGTTAAATATGCCTTTAATACAGTTGTTATCAAGGTTCTGAGTAGCATAAAATAGTACAATTTATTAATTTCTTGTTTAGCACTGGGTTGTTTGAGCTTTGCTAGATGTCTACCTAGATGGTTTTATCTTTTACATTAGACAAAAATAAATCAGCAAAATTCACCTTTCTTTTATTCTTTCTTCTGTTTTCTTTTATTATTTTATTTCTTTTATTTCACATTTCTTTTACGAGACCCTAAGTTCATGTTTACCCGATAGCTTATTTTCAGTTTGTTTCATTTCGATGACTCTGTAAGAAAACTGAAAGGATCCTTTGACCTGACAGGACTGACCTTATTTACTCCTGAAGATGTGTGACGGGTATAATCATTTGACAGCTCTCATTACCACTTCTCTCCCCATAAAACTACACGCAGTCCTACAGCCATCTCCTTGTAGTGTGCTCTGTTCGGTCATTCTTCATCGTGTCTGCATAATGAGTCATTAGATCTGTGGAAAGTGGGGGAGAATAAAGATGAAATATTTAGCTTTTCGTCTGTATTTGCCGTGAGAATCCAAGCTATAAAGTGTCGGCTTGGGTTGCGAAGAGAGCCTGAAGGTTAGGGCCACCACTCATGTTCAAAGTAGCAAAGAGCTGTTGTGGTTTAAGACACTGCATTAGTGGCTTAAGCCACTAATTCTGGCATGTAACCTGGAGCAGAAAGGGGCGACGTGATAAATCTTTGCAGCTTTGTGAGCCAAGTCCCACCTCAGAACCCAAAATTCTGTGAGTAAAGGACAGCTCTGGTTCCCATCTGCCTCTCCTACGTCTAGGTCTGATTTGGAAATAAAAATACATGCCTTTAGTGAGCGCAAAGCTGTCTTATCTGGCCCTCAGTTGTGATCACAATATCTATTTTAACAGAAAAAAAAACATTGCCACTGTGTCTCTGTTTCCTACTTTTAGAAGACTGAAGGCTTCTAAAATGTTTGCGAGCTCACCTTCTCTCTTAATATCTCAGATCAGTTAACAAATACCAATGAAGAGTACTTTGAAGTCTCTATCCCTTCCCATAAAGGGGAAGAGCAGCATGTGGAAGCTCAAAGCAGCAGGATGGAGAGCAGAACTTGTGTGTTGGCTCTTGGTTGTCACCTGGCAGACCATTCTCGCCGTCTCGAAGCATTACGGGTTTTCATGGCAATCGGCAGCGTTCCTTTTTTTCTCACCTCCGAAGTATTCTGGCTGATGCTAGATGTGCGTTACCAAAACTCATTTTTAGTATCAGAATGAGACTGTTATGTAATGCTATTTCTAAAGTGTTCTTCCGATGGCTGGAGGAGCTGCTAGGTATTTTGGAAATTTTCAGTGTAATTGTTTGAAAATTGGGTAGAATTCCTATGTAAATCAAGTAAGGAAAAGACATATATTAGTGGTGAGTACTCATTGTACCAAATAGAGAATTAACAGGTATTTGTTTTCAACTAATAGAATTTTAAATTGAAAATAAATTTACTTTCCTGCAAAGCCATTCTTCGATGTTTGGTCACCAGTCCTGCTTTGAGGAATAATGTTTTGGGATACTGCATATGTTCATCAGCTGTGCTGCTAGGAGTCTGGCTTAACAAATCCATTGCTTGTTATAAATTTTACCATAGAAGGTTAATCAATTTAATTTTGAGTAATGTAAATGACCTGGTAGCAGGGCAGCAGTCAGAGCTCTTCTTTAAAAAATATCTCTTTTGCAAGACAAAAGGGAATGATAAAATACAGAATCTGAGTAAAGAATACCTGCAAAGAGTAGGTAAATGTGTTGGGGAAGAGGGTGGGTAGAAATCATAGCTAGAAACAAGGCCAATGCTATTTGTTTGCTGCTTTTGTTCTTTAAGTGCTAAGCTTTTCCAGGGTGATTTAAAACTAACAGATGTGGATATTTTAATTTATTATGATTTTTCATTTTTTTTTTCTTTTTACTTCCTTGGCAGTAAAAGTATTAGGTAGTCAGTGGCATGCTTTATTGACCAATTTGCAGTCTCCCTTCTTCCTCCAAAACCACTGAAAAGATGTATTAACAGACCAATAAAACACGTCCTGTGATGTTCAGCAAGCAGGAATACATCTGTTTAAAGCTTACAAGAAACACGTGCAAGATGTTTTGCAGAGTCTTGCTATAGAGAGACTCGTATCTGTATTGGGTTTATTTATGTAAAATGGCAATTCTTGAACTATCTAATTTAAAACCTTTAAATGCTAGAACTATTTCAGAGTATTTTTCTGTATTTATGTAGATTCTTTGCCCACGGAAAATTGAACTGAAGTTTGATATATAAGTGGTTCAGACATTTTCATCGTTTCGTGCAACAGCAGATGGCTAAGAAAGAGCTGCCATCATATTAAAATAAAGCTTCCCTTCATACAAACTATATCTGAAGTGAAAAGTCCTTTGACTTCTACTCCTTCCTGTTTTTGCAAATGATTTTGTGCGCTTCTTAGATAGAGTTTTCATTCATGTTTTCCTGAGTTAAGTTTTCAGCTGAACTGTGTGTAAGCATCTTCTCTGGTGTAACAAATCAAAGTGAGTTATTGTAAGTGCCACTCCTGCACTGGGGATGCATGTTACTGTAACTGCTAAAAGCTGCCCTTCCTGATGGTTATGATCATGTATTTTGCCCCGTGATTTCATTTTCTGAGAGTTCTTGCTGTTTCCTGTTGCTTGGTTTGATTGTTTCAGACCGGATTTAAATTATAGTAATAGCTTAACAGAAAAACCTCAACTAGCCAATTTCTTTCTCACAAAGCAGTAACTGACCTTGACATTAATAAAAGTGGGAGCACCCTCAGCTGTTCCTAATTTCCCATTCGCAGTTACTGCTTTGGAAAATTCATTTTTAAAACACTGGTTCTTGAAGTTTTCAAATTGTGAGTGATTTGTCAAAACATGTACGCAAGAAAAGCAAAGCTGCTATTAGACCCTTGAGGACCATTTCAGCTGAGCGTAACTCACACAGAAGTAGTGATTGACCAAGGTGGGTTCAGATATGTTCACCGTGCTCCCATGCCAGCATTCCCCAAACTGTATCTGGACCTGGAATTGGCTGCTGTCTTTGGGAGATGCCGAGGAATTTGTCTCTTCACCCAGCTTCTGCTACCCAAGCAGGAGAGTTGGTTGGGATCTAGACCCATTTCTTGGGGGCAGAACTTTTTAATGGGGTCAGTCTGTAGGCATTAGTTAATCAAATATCTGAGCACTGTCAGCTACAGCCAGAATTGATTTTGGTGAGTTTAAATGTTTAAAAGGTTTTTACTTGGAGTGAAAGACTCACTAGGAATCTTTTGGGCTAGCTGATATCTACTGTCATCTTTATCTTTGGTAATATCCCCTGCTGACTAAATATTATTATTATTATTATTATTATTATTATATTATTATTATTATTATTATTATTATTATGAATTATAAAAGAGTAAAAAATTGTGTAAAAATAATAAGCATCACCAGTACGTCAGTTTTCTCAGAATCTAGAACTAGTTTCTTTTTTCCCTTAAAGTTTTAAAATAACGTTTAGCAATTTCTTTACCTAACTTGTAAGAATACAGTGTCCTTTTTGAGCAGTGGTATAACAGGAGAGTTATCTTTGGGAAAAAATGGCATTTGGTTTGTTGGAAATTTTTGCTAAAGACAGGTTGTGTCTGCTCCTGCCCTCTTAACAAGCAGAAGCTTTAGAGTTATGTGGTCATAAGACTTTCTGTGATTAAAATCAGCTATATTTTGGTGTGCAAGCTCATATGCTAAAGCAGATCCATATGGACACAATTCATTTTTAGACCTCGTTTCTTTCTGTACCCACGGATTCACAATGCCTGTGTTTTTAAGACTAATACTGTATCTTTCAACTTAATACATTATGTCAGGATACCTTTCTAGAGCATTTTTGTCTTGGTTGGATTTAAAACGAGTAATTATAAAAATCACTGCCAATTTCTAGTATAATCCAGAAAATTTTAGTAAATTCTGTTTTTTTTTTAAGAGCAGATTGGTTGTTAAGGAAAAGATTATGTTGCGTCTTCCAAGAGCTCCTGATTTTAAATTTAAAATAAATTGATCTATATCTGAGTGGAAAAAAAAAAAAAAAAAAGCAGCTCGATACATAGGAAACTACTTGAATTAAATGCTCATTTTGACATTTTGCCAGTCATGGGAATTTGCACATGCTCTGGGCTGAGTTAAGATATTAAAACAAAAATACTACAGTAAAACGAAACACGAGGAAAGTTCGGGCTCGACTTTGTAAGTTATCACATGCATAATAGCAAACATGTGGTTTCTCTGCTCTTCCCGTTCCTTGTAGAAGTGAATGGTGTGTCTGAAAGCAGCGGCGTTTTGATACAGCCGTGTGTTACTTGGCACTGCAGAATCCTCCTACTTTTTTCCATTAGTCTCAGATTATCCTCTCCCGCGTAACGCAGCACTTCTGGGTGATAGCCATAAGGGAGGAAAATTAGACCTGTGCGGATGGATTCTCTTTCATTGGTTACCAATTTCACGACAGATAATACCTTGTGAGAAAATTATAGGGTCACACAGAATTACTACTTACTCATTTCTAAGTAATTTAATTGACATCACATTGAAGGAACAGACTTGTTATATTGGAAGATTTTAAATCACTCTTTAAGAAAATGTTTTGGCTAAGTGTATGCTATAAATCTGACTGAACTGAGAAATTACAATTTTTTAAAGATATATATACTTGAAAATTTTTCTGTAGTTTCTCATTACGGATTTTAGTTTTTTCTAAAAAAAACAGTCTGGAATTTTTTTCTCTCTTTTTTTTCCACCTCCTTTCTTTAGAGAATACCTACAGGTGTGACAGTAACGTGGGAAATGTGGGAAAGATTTCAAGTCATGTCTAGCTTTAAAGCCCCTTTAGTAAAATAGTAAAATGTTGGTACAATTGGATTAGGGTTTGGGGGAAGAAACCTGGGTTCATGTTAACTAACACATGCTTCCATTTTGTGGAAAGCAATTCAAATTATTTTTTTGGATACAGAGGGTTTTAAGAAGTGTTAAACATCTTTGACATGACAGTCAAGGTGATAAAGTTCACTGGAGGCATCACTGAGATCTCTATCAGTCCCTTGGGAAAATTAATACCTGACATTGCTAAAGCAGGGCTAATTTATTTATTTTCAATACTTTCAGTCTTTCCTCATCCTGGGAGGGAAGAGATTTGAATCCTCCATCACTGCCATTCATCTTTCCAATTAAATTATTTAAGCATTTTTTATTCCTTTTGCGATTCAACTTTTTTCTTAACTGCAAGGAAGAAATTACAGTGACTTCTCAAATGGCATCCCCTGTTTGTTTGGGGTTGCTCGTTCTTGTTTACTGGCAAGGGGCCGAAATGCAGATCTACTTTGCTTTTTTCTTTTCTTTTTTTTTTTTCTTTTCCTTCTTTTTTTTCCGCCCATTACCTCCAGAGCAATCTAATTGACTGTTAATGTTCGAGGTATTGATACAGTCATTAAGAAAAGGATTTATGTGGAATATATTGACAGCCCCACATATTTTGTGGGTTGTTCTTTTTGAGCAGAAAATTAAGAATTTGTTTGCTGGCACGTTTATTCTTTCATTTTATTTTTTTTTCTCTCCCCATCCCCAAATGAGTGCCCTTCTCATTGGCACCTTGGCACCGAGAGTTTTGTTACTCCCCATGCGTGGTGTTACCCTGTGCCACCCTGTTGACTTCCACAAGCTGACACGGTTGCAGTTTTGCTGTTTTCATTTTCACCTTCTTTTCATTTGCAGGAGAACTGTCTTACGGATGACATCGGGATATCTACGTGGAAGGAGCAGGTTTTCCTGTCACATAGTGCCTTGCTGGCAAAGAGCTGCCAGGCTGCAATGGAGCTAGCAAAGCACAGCGCTGAGATTCAGGACATGGCATTTCAGTATGGAAAGCACATGTCTATGAGTCATAAGGTACACCTTTCTCTTTCATTCTGGGATCTTAAAAATGGAAAGACTGGGAAGATGTGTTGCTCCTGAGCTCTGTTCTGTAATAGCACTATGCTGGAGACTTTTGCCAGTAGGTCAGTGGTGTGGAAAGTTGTGGCTGCTGCCTGGTGTGAAAATGTTTGCAGAAACTGCTGGTATGAACAGTGCTTATGAACTGGCACAGTCACACTTCTAGCCATGTGGCTTGTTTCATTCAAGACTCTGTGAAAATCCCCCTGTTAAAGTCTGGGGGAAAGTCCCAGCAGGAGCTGCAGAAGGATGCAGGTGTTGGGTTTCAGCTGCCACCATGCAGGGGTTTGTACCTGTGGCTGAAGTATCTGCATGTGTTCCCTTCTGACTAAACTGCTGTGGAGGTAACTTTGAGAGGGGGTAGGTGGTGGACAAGGAGGGAGGCAACCAGATGAGGACAGCAGCAGCCTAAACCTAGAGAGGAGGAGGCTGAGAGGAGGCCTCATGGCGGCCTGCAGCTCCCTCACGAGGGGAGCGGAGGGGCAGGCGCTGAGCTCTGCTCTCTGGGGACAGCGACAGGACCCGAGGGAATGGCATGGAGCTGGGACAGGGGAGGGTCAGGCTGGGGGTTAGGGAAAGGGTCTGCACCCAGAGGGTGGTTGGGCACTGCAACAGGCTCCCCAGGGCAGTGGCCATGCACAGGCCTTGCACAGAGGTGTATCTGTGTTGGCATTTCAGCTCAGGTCGGGAGTGCCCCACTTAGTGCACTTTTGTTAGAGTATCTCGGTGTCCATAAGCTGGGTTTTCTTCACTGGAGACTGGACTGAAAGTTGTTCTCCAGCAGTTGGAAGTGTTTCAGTCCACAGCTGGAGCTAGTCTAAAGCAAAACACAGTGTGGAAACTCAGGTCCTCAGCACTCGTGTTTTGCCCTACAGATCCACTCCTCCCATATTGCACCACTTGCAAATACAGATGTAGGCTGAGATGGGCATGCAGACCTCCCATCCACTTCTGCTCAGTTGATTTAGACAGTTTCTAGTTCCTCCAGGAAAAGGAAGTGGTTTTCTAAAGCATAACTTTGCTGCCGCAGAAATACCACTATGTGCTATTACGAGGTACAACTCTATGAATAAACTGCTTGTAGTGCAGACTGTAGCTGTAACATTTTGCGTATGCTTTAATATTAATACTTTCACTATTGACTAATATAGTTGTATATAAAGGATTATATGATTTTCATAGAAAGCTACCAGCTATGCAACGTTTCCTTTGTCAGAAAGCAGATCGTACTGCATCAACTTCCTCAGGTACTGAAAAGTAGAGTGTGTTATCTTCACAGATGAAAAATCGATCTTCTTTCCACCAAAGACTAGATCATTCTTCCCTTTATGTTTTTTCCACTTCCTCCCACTCAACAGTTCCCTACCTGGCTGTCCCACTGCTTGCCCAGCTCTGCAAGCTGTCCTTCACATATTTCTTTGGAGGTACTCTACATACTTATCTTCCCCACAGCTTTCTGCCACTGCAGTGCTTCTCTCTCTTCCTCTCCCTCCCCCAAACTTGAAGTGCAACTAAAATACAAGTGTCAAAGCAGAAAATGGCAAGTAGGTATAGAATCAGGATATGGACTTTGAATTGGTGCTGGCGGGATGTAAATCTGCAGGCTGTTTCTGGAAACACAAGAAAGATGTTCTTCTCTTTCAGCTACACTCGGACCTTCAGCCATTTGTTAAAGAAAGTTCTAGTGACATCATGGCCTTCAGTTTGAATTGTGCTCCTGCAGTCTTTCATCAGGAATTCCTTGGAAGGGATGCATGGATTAAACAAATCAGAGAGGTAAATTAAAGCATTGTTTAGCATTTCATAGTTCTGCCATTTGTATCTCTCTTCCTTGCCTCAATCTGCAGAGAAACTTAGAAACTGACAACAGACAAGACACAAAGGTTAATTCTGCTCTCTAACACCACTCTCTCATGCTTTTGTGAGGGTAAAATCAAAGGAGCTGATAAATGAGCTCCGTTAAACTTCTGTGTGTCAGCGTAACAAGCACGTTCATTTGCATACAGCATATGTCTGTTGCTCACTACTTCTGCAAAGTCCCATGTCTTAGCTTAAAGCTACTTTCACTGTCAGTGTGATGCAAATAACTTTGTCCTACAGTGGACATAAGGTAGGTACACATTTCCTTCTGCCATATTTTTTTTTCTCTAATACTTAAAAGAGGAAGGGCATAGGCGTGTATCTGTTTTACATAACCATGTAGCACTGTGGGTTCAGATCTATGAATAGCTTCCTGGGTGTTGAAATACAACTTGATAACTCTACAAGATGGCAGGGAGAGAAAGTGGAGGGGAATGCCAAAAAATGGCCAAAATTAAGCATGCTGTCGTGTTCCTGCATCAATGAGACATGTTTTGCCTGTCTAAACAGCTGTGATGCATACTGTGGAAATTCCTGCTGTTGTTATACAGATTCTTCAGTAGAAAGTTTGCTGTCTTTGCACAGAACTAGCTTATTATCAAACATATTCTTTCAAGATGTGCTTGCTGATGATGGCTCCTTCCCTTCCTGGTTTGAAAGCAGAGCTCTGCATCACAGGGTGTGAAGTTTGAGCTTCTGCTAGTTCTGCCTTTATGATGGCCAGGTTGCAGCCTGCCTTCACATACCACAAGCAAGAGGTACAGTGAAATTTTGGGACTTACGTGCAGCATCCACAGCCTTGCAGGGGTGCAGTGTGTGTGTGTATGAGTCACAAACCAAAATGAACTTTTTGTCATTTTGAAATTAGGGGAATTAGGGGTTGATAGTTTATAGCGTATGAAGAGAAATTTTGGAATTCTACCGTCTCAACACAAGGCTCATGTGTGAGTTGAATGTAAATGGATTTGGATGATTGCAGTTGGAGAATAATGGTATTACCACAGCACACTTCATAAAAGCTTTGAAACCATTTCCCATCTGCAGGATCTAGAGGAGGTTGCAGGATTCCAGGAGTGCCGTCTGTCTGCTCGCTAATTCTCATACCAAAAATGGGCATTGTAGAAACAATGAAGCAGTTCTTGCTGAAGGAAAAAAAAAATAAAAGAAATGACATGCTCTACACAGAAGTATCTGCTAACTGCTACTTTAGCTAAATACAAAGTGGAACGCCTAGTCCAGGAGCCTTTCTTGGCTTTTAATGATTTAGAAGGGAAAATTACTTTTCATTAACTACAAGCTCTTTGAGATATCATCCGCAGTCACATTCACTATGTGACATTCAAGACAGGCCAAGCACTCAAACCAGAGGCTTTGTCATGTTGGCAGATAACGCCGTGCTCATAAGCCACCCTCTTCTGCAGTGTCATTTGTGTGGTATAAATAGGCGAAGCGTGCACAATATACTCTGGCCCTGTCAGGCAGAATTTTTTTCTAGTAGCTGAGTTGTGACTAGGCATATGGAAATCACGTTATGGACCTGTAAAGTAATCTGGCTTTCTCCTTTGAACTGCTTGTCTGTATGAGCATTCATGTGAGGGGTTCGAGGTAGCACCTTGTCATGGCAGCTTCCTCCTCCAGCAGGAAGGTCTTAGAGTTCAGGAAAGAGGACAGAGAGCTGTATTGTACCTGGTAGCCTCTGCAGTGTGTACTGCTCAGAAAGCTTGTCTCCAGGACTCTATGCCTTCATAAACGTCTTCATCAAGGATGCCTGAACTGCTGTGGAGTGCCCAGGATTGTGTGGTTGTTTCACCACAGTTCCCTTACCTGAGGTCCAGACACAGGCGCTGCTGCCACGGTAGCTTTTGCACACAGGCAGCTGTATGCACCTTCCTGCTGCTGAGCTGGAGACCTTTTAGAAGCCCCCTTGTCACTTGATTTGGAAAGAGCAGAACACGCCAGATACCCAGGTGTGGAAGGCTGCATCAACACTGAATATTTGCATTTTGAGAAGATTAGCTTCTGACTTGTGTGGAATTCAAAGACTGCCTCAAAAGGGACCTGGGACTTGTGCAGAGGGAAGCCTTGTCATAGGAGGGGAAAGAAAAGTGTGGGCATGCATGTATGTGTGCACATACGCTAAGATATCTACATGAATGAATGATCATCCATAAAGGCCAGAATCTCTCCTGTTCTCACTGAGTTCACCACCAAAATCCTTCCCCTTTTTGCATTTAAACCCAAAAGCCTAATGAACTGTTTGGTCAAGTATCTATTTTAAAAGGAATGTAGGTTGGAGTAATGTCCTGAAATGAATATTAAAAAAAATAATAATAATCCAATCTTAAATGGTTCCTAGGAAATACTGCTGTAGACAAAGAAATGCTCATCTTCAGATAAACTAATAAAACAGTTACTGAATGCAGTCCCACTGAACTTTTGGATAGCCTCGTAATCTTAAAATTTAGTAGATAACCCAGGGCTACGTGAAGGAAGATATCCTAGAGGTCAGAAGACAGAAGAGTTGGCCACTTATAGCCACATACGGATATCTCTCACTAGACAAGTACAAAAATTCTGCACCTTCAATAGGCATCCAACATGATGAGGTATAAAAGATCAAAGTTTGAGTGAAGAAATTCAGCAAAATCCCTCAGATATAGAACCTGTCTTAGCCCACAGCATTTGAAACTGAAAAAGGGAATAAGTCAGAAGCTAGAACTGTCTCATCCAGGCCTGGATAATCCTTGAACGTTTCCAAATATTTTTCTGAGCCTTCTCAGAAGAAGCAGGACTGGAAGAAAAACAATTACTAAATGGTTTGTCAAGCATTCCTGAAGCACGGGTTTTAAGAACATGTGTTACAGGGGCCATCTCATCTGAGAAACAAAAAATCCTGGAAAACGTTAGTCCTAAAAGCCTGCTTCAAAAGCATTGTCTTAAACCATCTGCTTATTTGATGCATTTCGAGTTATTTCATGGGGGATTCAGGGATCTTTCTTCCTCGCAAGGTGAGCTGGTTTCACACCACCTCATTGTTCATGAAGAATGTCATGATGTTACTGTCCTTCGCTGCTGGCACATGGTGATCTTTGGTATTCAGGAGGAAGGCTAAGCTGAATTGGCCACTCATATCTCCAGTATGTTGGTAAGCAGCTGCTTTTCTTTGAGGGCCCAGAGTGCCAACAACTCTGAAATTGAGCTCCCCAGCCAAGCAGCAAGGCCTAGAAAGCTGTGCAAGTTTGACAAGAGGGCATACCTTTTGCAAGCCAGTCTTAATATGGTTGAGGAAGCTAAACCACGTGCAGAAATCTGATGTAAAAGGAAAAAGTCTGTGTGTCAGAAATCAGGGCCAGTAAAAGTCAAAGGTCAAGCTTCTGTGAGGGCAAAAGAAAGAAAATTGCAAATTGTAGTAAAGAAGGCTTAAGAAAGATGCGTTAAGGGTGCTGCTTGGAGAAGTGCAACTGCGTTGGATGTTGGAGAGGAGTAGAGCATAAGAAAATATTGCTGTTTGTAACGTCGTATGTGCAGGAGGAGGCAAGCCAAGCACACCTTAGCTGGTATTGCTAAGACTAAAAAGCATCTTCCTCAAACGTGCTGGCAAATTCTCTGCTGCAGTGTGAATCTGCGTGTAGGCAATCGTTTGTTAGAGAACATTCCTGGTATGTTCTGCTATATGGTACCACTATGAGAGAGGTTTTGAGGAAGCTGTAATACCCATCCAGTATGAGTAACAGTTGACAAATCAGAGGGATGGGAATACACAAACAAGGAAGTGGTTATTGGCAGTGGTTTTACTAGTCCTGAATGGTATCAGGCTGTTCTCTTAATGCACACTCCAGAAAAGCTGAATTCTTACTAAGGAGAACCATAAGAAGAGCAGTAAAGAGTTTTTGTGGACCAGTCGCCTTTCTCCTCCAGTGAAATCACTTCTGTTTCCCACTGCTTTCCTTCCTGTTCTGGCTGCTTAGTTTCTCATCAGTTCTTCTTCTCTATTTTGTTTTTACTCCCTACAAAAATTAATTCGTTTTCCAAATCTGTGCCATCTTGGCAACATCTCCTCAAAGCTGTGCTTGCCACACAGTGTTCCTCTCCAGCTCAGGCCTCAGCTCTTCTCCTTCGGCCAGTTGGCCAGCTCTTCTTGGCTGTTCTCCTAGGTCCCCAGAAAGGACCGCTACCTCTCCAGGTCCTCATCTGCATCCTTCCAGAAGAAGTGAGGTCTGTGGGCTTCTTTCATGGGGGCTAGAGGGAAAGAAAGTCATGATTTATTTCTCAGTGCACCTGAGAAGAGAAGAACTGAAGTTGAACAAGGTGATAATGATACAGCTGGATTTGACCAAAGGGAAGGGCTTCAGTTTGGCCAAGCAGGAACACTCTGGATCCAACATTAAGAATCACTAAGTGAGAAAGGCAGAGACATCCTCTTTTCCATGTCACTCAGTAATAAAAGTAAGGAATTTGGACTAGGTGCCTTTCTGTATCTGGGCAAGAAGGACTTGAAATGTATTCATGCTCCTTTCTGAATGTATTAGGAGATAAATACAGTTGTAAACCAAAAGGAGAATTAGTATATCTAACATCAGTCTAATAGTGCTGACACAGTCCTGACATACTCTGAGAGGATCAACTTTAGACTTGTTATTAACTGCGTGCAAATTGCTATGAATATAGAAGTGTTCTCTTTTAAGAAGTTCAATCTTGTTATTGATTATATAAATTATAGTTTATTTCAGAAATTCATGGGAGAGATTAATTAATGCAAGCAGCAAGATTTCTTAAGACCATAACATTTTAGATTCAAAAAATGTTTAACAACAACATGTCATAAAAAATTACAGTGAGCATTTGCAGCTCTCATCTGAAACAGAACTATGTTGGACAAGCTGATAACACCTTTGCTTGAATTTTTTTATTTTTTTTTTTTCTGCATCAGATTCCTAGAGAAAGTCAGTTATGTTTTAAGTAGTAGGTCTTTGATAGCATCCTTTATTCTCATAGCTCTAGTTTGCAATAGGTAATAACATATATATGTATTCTCTTTCTCTTCAAGGCACAAGGAAAAGGAAATATAATGGACTACAAAAAGGTCAGTGAATTGCATTTAATTCTACTTTTTTATTTTTAATGTTTCCTGTAAAATTTTCAAGATTATTTTTGACAGTCAAGAGAAACTTCCTTATTAAAGTCAAGTTACAATTTGTGTACGTGGAGGGAGTGAGAATGGCTTCTGCAATTTCTTGATTTAAGAAGCAAGTAATAATCAGCTACCCTGTAAGTATCAAACACAGTCATTTAATAATATTTATTCCATTCCCCAAATTTAGTTTTGAAACGAGGTTTGTAGTGGCTTTTGCTGTCTTTTTCTGCAGTCATTTGCAGGTTAGCTTCCATCAGTGATCTCTACTTACTGATAGAGTGTTTTGTTACTTTATCTCACCCTAATACTACGCTATCTATTAAAAAATACACACACCTACACACATTTTAGAATAATTTGTGTTTCTGTAGTGCATTTGCTCCTGGGACAGCCCTATAGTAAAGGTAGATGTGAACTAACTAGCTTATCAGCTGAAAAAAGTACCAGGGGCACCATACAGCTCTTAGAGAAGTGCAGGAGGTGGCTGAGAAGGTTCCCCTGGTTCAGTGCTAGAGAACAACTTACCCGTGGTGGAAGCAGAAGGTGAGGTTGTGTCCCCAAGTCACTCGCTGAGTGTGAGGCTGAGTTGTTTGAAGTCTTAAGTAGATCGTGAGGGTCCAGTTATTTATCTCCAGCATCAATGAGAAATAATAGACAAACTATTGTGCACAGAGGATTGAGAATTGCTTCTTGAAGTGGAGCCGAAAGAACATTACAAACTGTGCTGCTGAAATAGAAAGCTAACACACACACAAGTCAGAATTCTGTTGTAATTATTCTGTATTTTGAAAATTTGGATTATCACCTTTCATTCCTGTTTGAACATGAAGAGGATCTCAGCATTAGTTTGCTATTTAAAAACATTGTCCTTTTGGTTTGGTGGTTGTTTTTTTTTTTTTCTTTTTTGACAACAGAAAAACTTATAAAACTGTCACTTTTTAAATGACCATCAAGAGCCCCAAATTTCTTTTTCCTCAAATTTGTCTGAGTATATGAGATACTTCTGTGAATGTTCAGGCTAGGCTACTTGCTTTTGTAAATCTAGAATGGATTTGTGCCTTTTAATTGTTACAGTTGTGACATGCTCAATGTCATTTCCGTAGTTTAAAAAAAGGGGAGGGAGGGGGGTGGAACTGCTTCTAAAATTGCTGTACTGAATTATTTATGTCATTGTATTCTGCATTTTGACTTGAACGATTTCGTATTTTGGATTGTTCAGATGAAATTGAAAAACCTACAGTGTGACTAGGCTACTTGGACACTTCAATAAAAGGAAAGGGAGGGAAAAAAAAAAAACCTTCCCCAAGTTTTTTATTTCATGTAAATGACTTCAGCCAGGAAGCACATGATTTCAGTACTCAGGGTGATGATCTTTTACATAAGCCACAGATATTAGGAGTTTAGTAATGATAGTGAAAAATTCTCCATCCTTTTTTGAGCTCAATCAGTAATCAACTTTGTTTTTTTTTGGTAGAAGTCTGTTTCAAAACTGCGGTGTCACATCCCTCTCTTCTGGGTTTTCTTCATTTAAAGTCAAAGTGGTCATTAGTTGCATCCATGCTCAATGAGCCCAGTAACCTGTGGCTCACCCCAGCATAGCAGCTCGGCCAGTGCATGCACACGGCCAATTAGAAGGCGTACTGTGCAGGACAAATGAGTATTTCTTTTCTGCCTTTTGCTGTGATGTCTTTATACCCCCAGTGTCAGTGTTTTGCACATTTGCTCTGTCTTTTCAAGCACCTGAGGACCGCTCTCATCTTCCTATTTAGTTGCTAGAACTACTTGAACATACCTAATCAAATCTGGGGGCTTGCTTCTCTTTGAGTCTTCGAAACATCTCTTTAATTCTGTGAAACCAAAGGCCAACAAAACTAGTTGCAAAGCTTCTGAAAAACTATATTATTTCTGTTCTCTTTATTTTTATTATGAACTTATTATTCAGCATGCCGCTTGCATAAGAGAAAAATGCTGTTCCTTTATTAGAATTCATAAATATATGTATATAAAAACTGCCAGCTGCTTTGTCTGCTTAAGAATATTTCACCTTATTCACCGCAGCTTTCAATTAAAATAATGAATGAAGGTAAAATTTAGAAATGGAGATTTACCCAGTGACTGCTTGAAAGGCAAAGGTCTTATTTTATTTCCATTTTGAGACTGCTCAGGAACTTTGGAAATGTGTGTTTGATGCACGTTATATTAAAATGGCATCCCTGAGTTTTTCCAGAGGCAAAAATAAAATCTAGATGGTGCTAGTAAATTTAGTGAGGGCTCTGAGATAAATATAGATGTGAAATGCTTTTCATTAATTTAATTGGACCCGAGACTGTCATGTCAATAAGGTCAGTATATTCTGCAAAATTGCTAGTACTTTTTTTTCCCCAGCATATCAATCTTTTTATCAGAAGGACTTTGATATCACAAAGGCACTTATTTTCTCACGTCAGTATCTGAATGTTGCACTCTATTTTTTTTGCTACCCCATCACACCACATCCAGACAAATTATTGATCCATCATTGTGTTGTTTGAAAGTCTCTTACAGAGATGAAGAAGTAGGTTCAGATCTGTTTTAGTGGTGTTTCTCAGATAACAAAAGGGAAAGTACCAACATATGGCAGAGACAAAGCTCATGAATGTCACTGAAAGCAGCAGCGACTTTCCTGTCATCCAAATTTGTATGTCATATTTTAGCAAAAATCTCAGACTTCAAATCAAAAAGCTTTTATACATTTTACAATTTCTTTGCCATGCCAGATAAGCTGTGTAATTCTGCAACAACAAATGGAGATCCTGAATGAATTACTTACTATTTTATAATATTGATTAAAAGCCCTCCACTGAAATCAAGGCCTTAATGGTGGCCTGAAGGCATTGTACAGACTTGTTAAGTGACAGTAACACAGGCACAACCAGTGCCAGGAATGAATAATTCTTATTTTCTGGCCAAGGCTCTAGAATAATTACAAGGTGAGGATGAGGTATGCGAAGTCCTCTATTTTGCAGCCAGTTAGCTTAACTGCAGGAAGAAGTTGTTGTTTTTCTTAATGCAGGATTCATAAAGGATAAATGAAGTCAAGTGAAAGGGGACATAGCAAAACTATTTTTTAATGTATCCCTGCTCACTTGCTTTGCTGTGAAGTCCTTTCATCCAGACTGGCATGGGAAGTAGGGTACATCAGCAGTGCTGTAGCATGCTTTGTTGGTTTGTCCATGGAGCACCAGGCACGATGCTAACACGGAGCAGGTTTTGTGCTGTACTGGCAGTAGGTGAGTCAAGGAGCAGTAGGTCCAGCCATCCGTACGCTGCGTGGCACGAAGGACTTGGCTCCACATACGGCAGGAAAGAGCTAGAGAAGAAAAATGGGAAAAAAATTAGGCCTTGGCTAAACTGTAGAGAAAGGTAAGAGTTAACCAAATCCCCGAGGTGTACAGCCACTACCAAAAATCATTTGCATTGTTGTTTTTAATCAGTGGGAATTTTCTAGGGCTTCTTTGGGGTAAGAACACAACCCAACTTTTGTTTCGTTAAAGCAGACAACTATCACGTCTTTTAGCATAAATACCAAGTTAATTGCTTGTGTGTGCTAAGATGACAATTAATAGTGGCTACTTGTGTTACTGAGATGGGAGAAAGTCATGCAGGCCTCGTCAAGTTCATTGTGAAGGGCCTGGAAAGGCATAAGGAGGAGGAGCAATCAGTGTCTTTTCTAAAAAGTTGAAAGGTCCGTGCAATCAATCAGCAGCTCAGGATGACTTGTAATTTTTTGGCAAAATGCATTACCAGGACTGCGTAACAGCTGGGGTAGCAGCGCTCCCTCTAAGTAGGCCATCTCTCCTGTACTGTTGGGGGTGGCTCGTTCCAGATTTGGTCTCTTTTTCTAGAAGGGGATTTTTTTAGTTTGAAGTAAAAAGGTAATTCAGCTGTTTGTCAGTTGAGTGAGGAAAATAAATCATATTCTATTAATAGAAGTTTCTGTAGGCTGTTGTGCCCATAAAAGATGCATTTCTTTACCTTTTATGTTCAAAAAAAAAATAATCTAAGAAAATATTGGATAAATGCATTTACTGCCCCAATTTGAAGTGGCATATTACTCTGCATATAACCAACAAAGATTAAAAAAAGAAAGTATTTGATGACATTCTGAAGTGATGCACTTAAATGATTTCCAAGCCTACACACTGAGAAGGAAGAGCATAAACCCATGTCCAGCCACAAGAACTGCAAGTGAATACTGAGACGTTCCAAGGTACTGCAGAAACAAAGGAAAAATCTGAAAAGGTTCATCTACCAACAATAAAATGTGCCAGTGCTGTTTCAAGGCAACATTTCAGCAGTTTATTACAGGGTTTTTTTTGAGCACGGTGTTCCCACAAAGGACAAAAATTTAGAAAAACTAGTGCAGAGCACTGTAAACACTTAACACAAGTCAATCACTCAGAGACAGACCAATTTAAATTCTATATTATAGGGGTTTTCTTTATTTTGGTGGGTACTGTACATTTCAGAAATTTAGAATAGTTTAGCTCACTTCAAGATCAGAGGGAATATGTGATGTTTGAAGATTTCAGTATACAGGAAATTAAGCTGTTTAGGGTCATTCTTGTGAGGCAAAAAATACATTTTTCTGAAGTTGCCTGCTGATACCTTGTCACTGAAATAATTAATGTTGAATTTGATCATTAAAAAAAGAGAATATTCTTAACTCTCCCTTTGCACAGAAAATCTAGTACAGCCAAAATATTTACCATGTATTCACAGAGTCTTCCTTCAACTCCCCACCCACCCCCGAATTCGATGTTCCCTGTATGTAGAACTGTCTGAAAGGAATCTTATTTTTACTTTTGCTGGGAAATAAGGTAAAAATATATCAGCAGGGAAGATTTAAAGTTGTTCCTTTGTGCTTGAATACCTGCTGGTTTTTTTGTCTTCATTGATTCTTCAGTCTCCAAAATCCAGAAGTCCCTAGGTTGCCTCTTAGTCCTCTTGCCATCTTCTCCAACAGGAGTGCCCAGAAGAGTTGGCCTGGAAGGCAAATGCTCAATTTCTGTACTAAATTTCTCTTTCTCTTCTTAAAACAAGAGGACTGCAAGACACAGTACGTTGAACTCTGCTTTATTCACAGAATCATGCAGTAACTGAGGTTGGCAGGGACCTCTGGGGCATGTCTGCTCCCACCTCCTGCTCAAATCACAGCCAGTGGGGATGGATCAGCTCAGGGCCTTCTCCGCTTGAATTTTGGGTACCTGCAAGGACAGACTTGTTGTGGTGATTTCCTTCCTGGTGGAAAAGATTTTCTTTAGGTCTAATCAGCATTTCCCACGCTGCTACCCATGCCCACTGCCTCCCATCCCTTCTGTGTGCCCTGTTCTGAGTCCCCTGCACTTGCCCGTGAGGTGGTTGGGGCAGCAGGACCACCCAACTGCTGGTCTGCTTCTCCAGGTCAGTCCTGGCCCAGCAAACCTCGCAGGGCTGAGTGGAAATTCCCCTACTCCAGCTGGTCGGTGCTCGTGGTTGTCTCTGGCAGGATAGGAAATGGGGGGCTGAGACCAAGGTGCTGGTGTTAAACTCCCCTTTCCAGTGGGTCAGGGGATGGCAAAAATCAATCTACAAGGAACAATTGGCATTGCCTCACCTTTTATTTGCAGGACGTGCCTGGAGATGTGTGCAGAGGGAGATAATGGGAAGCAACCTTAAAGGTGGAAGGGGTCAGAAATCGTCCTTTTCCCCTCCTCTTAACCTGCTGATAGACAATGGCTGAAGTAGGAGCTGATACAGAAGGGAAGGGAAGGAGGAAGCTGGAGAAGTGGAGCCCAGCCTCTCAGCACTTTGTCTTCCTGTGCGTGCTCAGAGCATTCAGAATGAGGGACCCTCGGTGCTCCCCTCCTTTCCATATCCTCCTGTTCTCCTTTGCTCTTTCTCTAACTCGCGATTAGAGCCATCCCTCCTTCCAGCCACAGACTCGGGAACGGAAGAAATGAAAATAAATTCACGGCAGGTCAAGTGGATGAGGCTGGGCGAGTGCAGACAGCAGAGCAGGCTGCGTGGCTCTTAACCTGCTGTTCTCAGTGCCCAGCCAGGTATCTTTTTTCCCAGCCTGTGGCGATTTTGTTGTCGTGTTGCTTTTCCTTAGATTCGTAGAACAACCTTCAGACATAAAACTTTAGGGTTTTCAGCTTCAGTGTGTTAAGCCTGGTCAACATCTGAATAGACTGAGGAAAAATGGTGCCTTGGGAGGGAGCATTGCTTCCCTCTTGAGTCTTAACTTGGCTGCACTACTGTAAGGCCACTCTTAAAGCTGAATTTAAGCAACGAGATCCCTTCTGTGAGCTTTCAGGTTCTGGGCACCTTCAGAAAGAAGTCAGGCTTCATTGCCATGGTCTGAACAAAAGCTAAGATGCACTATTCTAGCATATCTAGCAGTTCAACTGGAGAAAAACGTCTAAGTGACCTGTATTTTGACTTGCATTCTGTTTTAATTATTGCTTGCTGCTCTGAAGAAGGTTGTGTTTTGGTGATGGATGAAGTTGTTCCTACAAGTGGAACAAAACAAGCTTGCACAAAATGATGCCATGTAGGTGGAGACCAAAAGATCAGATCGCTCTGTTTAGAAGAAAACAACGAGGGAGCCTAATTGAAGTTTATAAAGTAACAAATCGAAGGAGTTTGTTTCCTTTTCTGTCTGTTTCCCTCAAAAATCAGCTGCTTCTATCTGAGTGAAATTAAGAAATAATACATCTAAACTGGGTACATGGATTTATTTTTTTTTTTTTTTGGAAATATTTAATTTGTGAAGTTCATTACATGAAATCACTGAAGCCCAAAGCCAGAGAGAGTGGAAGTGTAGCTGCAGCACAACTGATGGTGCAGCTGAGGGCTTAAATTGGTTGTTTTGCATACAGAAGGGCCACTGAAACCTGGCTTCCCGTGGAGTTACATCCTGAATTTCCTTAATGACCGCCTCACTACAAGCAGCCGAGTTTGTACTCCTCTAATTTTTTTTTTCTTCCTTTTTACAACCCCGGCTGAGATAGAGGTAACGTGCAGTCAGCTCAATCCGCACGGGTTTGCCTCAGCGCGTGCTTGCTTGGGTTGAGCAGCTGATTCTGCAAGCAGAGTGTGAAACGGGAAGTTTTTGGGGACTATGAGGTAAGCAGGGAAGGAACCAGCTTCCAGAGAAGGGAAGATGATCTTAGGTCATTAACAATATGTCTTTATACGAGTGTTAGCAGCCACACCAAACATTTTTAATGAGTTTACAGCAGAGTTTACATCACGATGGCTTCTCCCATCTCAGAAACTGTGACTGAAGGAAGGGGGAGAAACACCTTTTCTTGCCATTCACAAATCTCCTCTTCCCCAACCCCTGTTGCTGCAGAGCCGCGGTGTGTGGCAGATTCCCATTCACTGGGATCGTGTTGAATTAACAGAGTCGTGCCTCTGGGTTTGTTCTTCTCCGAAGCACGGCACGGGAAGATCCTGACTGAAAGGGGGAATAAAAATTTGATGGTCTGGGACCTGAACACTCAAGTGCTGTAATACGCTTTCAACTAATTTCATCCCTAAATACAGATAATGAGTGCACCTCTGTGCTGAGATAGGAAACATCATTCATTGTATAGAAGAGCAAGGATCTATACAATGAATGGCTTTTATGGTTTGGGTAAGTCTTAGGTATTTTTGACACGATTTAAACTAGATTGTTAAGGTTATCCTGATGAATTTGCAAATGAATTGGGGCACTGTGCTGGACACTGGAGGAAAACATAATTTATAAAACCCCGCATAATTAGTTACTGTAGGTACCTGTGTTCAAGAAACCCATTTTTTTTTTTTTTTTTAATTTTTATAAAAAAGCTGATGCCATGATGAAACTGAACTACAAAAGCCACCTGGGACGCAGCTTGTGAAACAGTCTCGTGCTTTAGGGAGAAGCATTTGTAGTATTTTGTAGGAAATTTAACCTGTCATTTACCCAAGCTTTTTAGGTGCCAAACCTTTCCAGCAGCTTGCCGTGAACGTGTTCCTCCAGGGAAGCGTTTACTTTCTCAGCTGGCGTTATCACCGCACCTTTCTCCAATCCCCTGCCCTTAGTGGGAAGATTGGGTTCGCGCGGCTGTATCCGAGTACAATGAACTTTAACAGATCCCATTTTACCGACAGAATTCGCTTTTGTCCACCGTCACCAGTGCAGCCACATGGTGTATAAATAGAAATCCGTAGCACAAAAGGCAGGAGCTCAGTGCGTGTCTCCAAAAGCAGGGAATGTAGCGGGTGTCGGGAAAAAAATCCAGCTTTTGACTGCAGAAAACGAGAGAGTGAGTGGCTGGGGTGCTGGTACTGCACGGGAGCTCTCAAAATGCCCAGATAGCCACATTTATTTTTATTTTTTGGCTTTGTTGTGCTGTGTGCCGGTTGGAGAGCTAGCGCCGTGCAGGCGTGATGTGTTTTAAATCACCTGCGGCTCTGCCGGAGCTGGGAGCCAAAGCAGCGCAGCCGCACACCCCAGAGGGGTTTGGGAGCCCTCCCAACAGCCCCAACCCCTTGGAAGGGTGGCAGGAGCAGCGCTGGTGCTGCCAAATCCCATCCCACCCCGCCTGTGTCTCCCCACAGCTGCAAGAAGCCATCAAGGCTGGCAAAGGTGTGACTTCTGCCATCGACCTGTGCCGTCGCCACGGAAACCGAGCGCTGGCGGCCCTCGAGAGCTTCCCTCCCTCGGAGGCCAGGGCGGCCTTGGCCAACATCGTCTACGCCGTCACCAGGTTCTCCTGATGCCACCGCCGCTGGGGGCACCCAGCCCTGGCCTCCGCACCGAACAACATTTGGGGGGGCGGGAGGGGAGAGAGAAAGAAAAAAGAAAAAAAAAAAGGGATGGAAGTGAAAGAAAAAAAAAAAAAAAGGTCAACCTGTTTTTTTTTTTTTTCTTCGCTCGTCGTGCCAGAAGCGCACTCGAGGCAGCAATAATTAATGAGGCCCGTTCGCGTGACCTCGGCAAATGGACAGGAAATCAGTGCCTATTGATTGGGCACCGGCGGGGACGGCGCCAGGGCGGAGGCCGGCGGTTTTCCTGCCCGGGGAGGCCGGGGTGGAGGCGGGGAGGGAGGAGGCAGGTGCCGCCGGGAGCCGGCGTGCCCCCGGTTTGTCACCACGAAGGGGAATTATCGGGGGGAAGATCCTTTATCTGCCTGCGTGCGGCCGGCCGTGTCTCCCCACGCTGTTTTTTATGTATTCGTGTGTAAAATCACCCCGTGCTTAACACCATCCCTGTTGGAGAAACTGGCTGAGAAAATGTGTCCAGCATGGTAAGTAGGAGCTTTAAAATATTTAATCAAATATTAATTTGGCTCTGTTAAGGGAAGCGACCGCCTGGTTTTTAGACCGTGCATACAAAATGTGCTGCGCTGGGTCAAAGAGCTGAGGTCTTCCCACCCTTCTAGGGGAAGGGATATCCTTCCCTGGCATCAAGAAGTTTGTTGCAGCACAAGCTTACACAAAGCAGTTTCCTGGATTTGCCACACTTTCGTTGATTTAAGCCAAATAAATGCTAATTTCTAGGGCTAAATGTCAGCTTCTGGCAGAAAGGGGCGAGGGATGTTCAGTCTTTCACCACTCTGAATAAAATGGAGAAAACGCTGGAGAAGTTCTGAACCTCAGTGTGTTCAATTCTCGAGTCCAGCTGCAGAAAGCTTATAAGGTGTATCAGGAGCCTGCAATGCGAGACTGTCTCTGTTTTGTTCATCGGAGATGATTTTTGTGGTTTGCATGCATGCAATCCGAGAACGTCGTTGACAAGAAGGCTGAGTTTACATAAATGATCTAGATTGAGACTCAGCTACCTTTCTTCCTTCTGTGGTGTAATTACAGCCCGATCTGGAGACAGCTAGCACAGCAAACAGATTTCATTACATCGTTCACTCAAACACTAAGTGGAGTTATTTCTGTTGAATTCTCTCCTCCCTCCTTCTCCCCCTGCACTCCTCCCCCCTCTGTCACACAGCTTATTTATCACAGGCCGGCGCGCTGCATTCCACCGAATGCACAATATAAATACAAACTGTAGCCTCTAAAGATGTACCGAGCACCGCTCCTGCATGATGTACATAATGTTCTGTGTAAATGATGTCTGTATTATACTGTAGCATTACATGTATAATAAGGACACTCGAGACAGTCATTGTATGGCAGCAGTGTCCAAAACTCAGGACTTGCTTTATTTTGGAGAATGTCTTCAGCACCAGACCCCTTCTTGCTTGCATTTTCTTTTTCTTGCCTCTCTCTCACCTCTGCCTGGTGCCACAGCAGGAAGGTGGAGGCAGCAGAAAAGCACCCAGGCGATGGTAGTCACGGGCATCTGCCTGAGCAAAACTTCAGGGAACTTCACAGGTGAAAATGTAAGTGGTTAGCTTACATCGTCAGTGGGCTTGCAAGGAAATATTTAAATCCAACCCCAGTCATATTTCAGGCAGCTTTTTTGGATCTGATTTTCACTCATTAAGGATAGAATGAGCCATAGGTTATCTTTATCTCATACCTACACTAAATGCTTCATCATGATTTACGGCTGCAAGGGGCTTGGGTCTGGCTGGAGATATTCTGAGCCATCTCTCCTCAGTTATGTGAAAGGAATATCAAACATATGCAAAAAACTCTGTACACCTGGTTTATTTTTTTCATGAAAGTACACTTTTTTTATTTGTACTTTTTACTAATAAAGACAAATCAGCAAAAATAATGACAGCTTGTTTTGTATTTATATCATCAGAAAGTTCTGATTGCACTTAAACTATTCCATAACATTAACTTAAAAACAAACCAAACTGAGTTGTACCATACCAATGGTATTAAGTGATTGTATAGTCAAGAAATTTATCTGTAATCATTGAGAAATTTTAGTTGTGTTGTTACCTCCAGGTAAAATACAAGCGTGGTATTGTCAAACTGGGGTGTGGGGTCTGGTTGAAGAAAGAATTGACTTGTTTCAGTCATCTCTGGCAGAAGCTGTGTTCTCGTTAGCTGTCCTGGGAAAGTAGAAGAGGATGGAGAGCAGGAGCCTGTCTCAGGTGCTCTGTACCAGCACATGGAGGTGCCTTTTCTTAGGAAACCCAGGCTACCTTGTTTAAGACAAGGAGCCTGGGAACAAGTTTTCTGTTCCAAATGCTGACATGCCAGAGCACCTCATGTGAATCATACCCATTTTAATACAGACACTGTAATATATGATAAAATTATCATCCACATGCTTGGATTGCCAAAAACCAACAACCAATAACCTATTTGATTGTCTTATGCCTTTTTTGTTCTCTAATCACCAGGAGCTGTCAGAGTGTACGTTGATTAAAGGCTTTGGGGAGCGGGATGGTTGTTTTTTAGCAGAGTTATGGACGAAAGCCATTTCTTTTCCATGCCCCTGCATTTCGGAAGGCCTTTGGCACGGGAAATTGCACCGAATTTTCATGTCTGCTTTTCCTTACTGCCACCAGTAGGCCAAGCCAAAACGCAGGCAGCTCACCCAGAAGTACCCGTCAGCTGCTCCTCTGAACTTCATCCGAGGTATTGTATTGCTGGACGGTCACGGGCATGCGAGGTCCCAGGCCATTAAACCAAACTGAATTCATCTGCGCAGAGCACAGCTGCAGGCTGGGAAGGCTGGCTCATAGGTGTCTCGTGGAAAGCTGCTCAACTGCCAGCCTAGTTTTTCCAGCTCCATGGGAGCATAGAAATTTTGGCTGGAAAGAGCTGCAAAAGGTCAGCTAGTCAAATCTATTCAGAGCAAGTTTGCTGCCAACACCAAGTCCAGCCTTGGAAACTTTCAGGGATTTTGCTCCCACAGGTCCCCCACACAGCCTGTCCTAGCTTTTTTTTTTATTATTATTATTATTCATAGTCTTCAAAGTCCTTTTACCTGTATATTGTCTTAATGATGAAGTACTAAAGCTTTTCAGTCTCAAAGCAGCTCAAAGGAGAGAATATTTCCACTTCCTAAAGCCATGCATTTTGGTGGCCGCTGCATTAAACCCTCGTTTTCTTCCTTTCAAAAACCAATCTCTAGAAACGCATTAATTAAGTACGCAATTAGCATTCGCAGGCTTCTCTTTTAGGGTAAGCCCGCTTTCCTCCAACCCGCGCCCCCTGCCCACCCCTCCGGGCGCAGCGCATGGCCAGCCAGAGGCGTGCTCTGGCTCCCCCGTGTGTGGGAGCCTGCCACTCTGCAGCGTTTTTGGAAAACCCACTCGGGAGCTACGTTGTCCTATCTGTGATTATACAGGACAAGCACAATGCTGCAGCAAAAATAAAAATAAAGATCTTGCTTCAAAACGTTCTCCTGTAGCCTGTCTCGCTTCGTCTCCCTCCCTTCATCCTTCCCCCAAACAGCAAGGGCTGAAAATTCTCTGCTTTGTGTTGAAACATTGGGCAAATTGGTTAGTTTTAAAATTGTACACAAAAATGAGTATTTTGCTTGCACCAAAACCAGTATTTCTTTTTTAATCCTTTGACCTTTACACCAAATGACTCGCATCAACTGCAGTGGTCATATTTTAGCAGTTATTAAAGGTCAGATTATAAAAAGGAAGTGTTATCTGGAAGCAACCAGTAAAATCTGAAGCAACTGCCAACAGATTAATTTTTTTTCCCCTCCCCGAGAACGTAAACCCTCATTTCAAAAAGCTTCACTCTCTGCAGATGAGTGCGATGTGACCGGCTTCTCCGAAACAGGGCACGATGAGGAAATAAAGCATTTTTCCCTCTTGGCTACTTTGGATGAAAGCTCTCCAACTCAGCACATTGTGTCTGAACACTTCTTCATTCATAGCATGCGCCCACTGAAAACTGTTTTCTGTTCGCAGCATTGGAGCTGTACTATTTATAACCTCGTTGAACAATGCTAACTAGAGGCAGTAAAAGGTGTGTGTTTCATATGCAAATCACTGGCAATAATTTTGTACAATTACACTTAGTTGCTTGCATCATTATTTTCGGCACCAACATAATAATAAAATAAAAATAAAAAAGCAAAAAAACAAAAAACCCACGGGTTTAGCAGGAGAACAGTAAAGGAAAAATGTCTGCATTAGTAAGACTTATTCTTAATAAAACAATTTTCTTGCTTTTGTCAACCCATGGAAGTTAATTTGTTAAAATTTCATCTCAATTTGCAGTAACTATGAATATCCCTATCTCTGCTCAGGTGCTGGAAATGGCTTTTAGATGTACTTATGCTAAGATAAGCTATCTTTGCAGGAAAATAAATGAGGTTTAAATGTCTAGTGTTTCTTAAAGGCTGGTGCTGCTAAAAGTCACGTTAGCGATGAATGGAAATATTTCTTACATAATTTTTTAATGAAAAGCAATCGCTTTTGATCTCGTTTTATTGTAGTAACAGCCATTAAGCACGTGGCATGTTTTTCAGTTCTTGTAAATGCAGGTCCTCACATCTACAATTTTTAGGAAAAAAAAAAAAAAAAAGCAGTTCGGATTAAATTTTCCAATTTAAAAGGCAAATTTCTTTATTGTTGTATAAAATGCACTCACTTTGTAAACACATGACTGTTCTCCAAGGCAGTACTGGTAATTTGGGTTAACACATCTAGTAGCCAGGAACCAGAAATGCACATTAATGCAAATTCAGAAGGAAATGTTCCTGTCCACCTGAAGAGCAAGGTTCAGGAGTAGCTCTCTGGTAGTAATGAGGGTAAAGAAGGAAAAGAGACAAAGAGGATTCCTTCCACAGAGATTTCTACAACCTGACCACTGCTACTTCCATTTAAAAAGAGAAGTCTTTAATAACGGGGAAAAAAAATAGCAAATCAGCCAGCTGATTCCTAAAGAAACCCAGTTTTCTACACTGCTTAGTAAGTTATAATTATTTTTTAAATATTGTCGCAAATATTTGAATTTAGATATCTCAGTGAAGCAGGAGACTATGCAACAGGGCTAACACGTTTCTCTAAGCAATGGGCAGGATGTGGATCTGAGGGCTAAGTTCACAAGAACGTATGGTTCACACTTGCTTGGGAGATGTGGCCATCTCTGAGAGAACTTACTTGATGCGAACATCTTTGAGAGAAAGGTTTTCTCAGGCTGCACTGAGCTATTTTGTAATTAACGCAGAGTTTAGAAGAGCAGACCTTCGTGGGATAAATCTTTGATCCTTCGGGGTTGGTCATGGTGTAGATAACACAATGACTGTGCATTCAGTCAGCGTTACTTCTTTTTAAATGCAGAGCTGTGAGATAGCATGCAATGGCACACAGCTCTTGGCTGAACTAACCTAAAGAGAACTCCAATTTCATTGCCAAGAGATTAAAAGAGGCTTATGTTTCCAAGAGTGAAATTGCTCAGACTTGTCAGTTTTTTAACAGCTATGGATGCAGCCGATGTATAAGTAAACTGCTGCAGCACAGGAGGAGATTGTAGATTGCTCACTGGGTCAGCTACTCCATTCTTGAAGCTCTGTTACATTCCTGTCCTACTCCATCTTCCATTGCAGCTTTGATATGACTTTTATTTTAAGCTTTTATCTCAAATTCTCTTTCCTCTGGTGCTCAACTGTTACATATTTGCCATCTTGCCAGTGTGCCCTGGTGGTACTTCAGGCTGGAAAGTTGTGTGGTTTTTTTTTTTCCCTTATAATGAGTGTTCACTTCATCAAAACTTTTTTTTTTTTTATCTGTCAGCTAATCTCCAAGTGTAAGGTTTACAGCCCGCATGTGCTTTGAACTGGCTTATTTTTCAAATCCAAAGATGCCGCGTGGATCCTCTGTTTTGATACCCTTGGTTCAGCAAACGATGCAATTATGATATTCCTTGCCTGTCTTTGTAAAGTCTTTACTAAATAGCAGTTTTGAAAAGTTTCCAACAGCAGTTACCATTGTGCCTAAGAACAAGGTGCAGTGTCGTTATTAAATAAATAAATAAATAGATGAAAATCTCGTGTCACAGCTTTGTTTCTGAGAAGAAAGCCCCTGCAATGTGATTACCTGGCACTCCAAACCAGTGTTTCCCAAGCAGTGCAGCGTGTTGCTGGCACGACCCTCCAGCGCTGCTTCAGGAAGGTTGAAACCACAAAATGAAGCTCAGGTGCTTGGTGCTGCTCTCCTCTGCCTGGGTTCCAGCAGCGTGTGGGTGCTGCCTGCAGCGCGTTACCTGCTCGGTGTTGCTGCCCATGGGCCCGCGAAGGCTCTAAATGTGACTGCGTAATGCGCCCAGACACGTCCTTTCGGCCTGACAGGTAGTGAAAAGTACTGAGATATGTGACATTGATCCAGTGGTACACACTGTTGGCATATTTGCCATTAAATATTTCATGTTTTTATAACTTTGAGCTGCAGACCTTGTGGGAGGGGGCTCCCCCTGCGCCTGCTGCACGCAGTAGGGGGGCTGGCAACGCAGGGAGCACCACGAGTCAGGCAGACAGACGCCTGGTTGCTGGTGGGGGCTCATCCCGCTGCGCAAGGGACTTGTTTTCCCATGAGGGGCTTGGTGTGAGATGCGTACGATGGCTTGCGGAGCGCTGGCTCTGCGCGCAGGAGGGCTGCTTCTCTTCCTCTCTCCTCGCCGACTCCACGGCTCTGGGGTCTGGCTGCAGGCTGGCTTGGTTTCAAGGTGTGTGGCAGAGAAAAGTGACAGACGGCATCCTGGTACCGTAGCGGTGCGTACAGACTGCCAAAACTGGGGTTGGAAGTGCTTTCAACATCGCATGCCGCATCCCTGCCTACTCAGTGCTGCAGGCAC